TAAGGTCAGCTACTATTACTTGCGCAAAGCACAACATGGGCTTAGTACCGTATTGCAATGTTTTTATTATTTTGCTCCCATTTAAGTATTCCCATGCATCTGTGTCTAGTTTAACAGGAAAACATACGAGCAGAGTAAGTGTCTGATAAACTAAAAGTCCCAGTTGTCAAAAAGATTCTTAACATTTGTCCACAGCCAGCTGCATTTAATTGAGACACAGAAAACTCATCTTCTAAGACTGTATACTGCTGTTTTACGGGCAACTAAAAGCTCAGACACTTAGCTATCTTGCTACCGATGTTATTGCTGGGGAAATTGTTTAGTGACAGTTATCATGAAATATGGTCAGTGATAGATGTACAGTTTAGAAATAAACACCAAACATACTTATCGCTATCTTATAATGTATGACAGCAACAGCATCAGAGGCACGTTTTTTCCTATTTTTAATCAGACTGATCTGAATCTGTATACACATTAGAAACAGGCAACTCTACTTACTAAACCGATCTGTTTCGTTACAGGCTTCAAGCACTATACTTAAGTATATCATAATTCTTTCAACTAAACTGAATTATACGACAACCACGAACACTAAACTAAGCAATTGTCATAGTTATTGTTTCACTTGCAAAGACATGTTGCTCAAAGTAGTTAAATGGACATAATTAAGCCGATAAAACTAAAACAGGAAATATAGGCCAGTTGGACTTAGCTAAGAAAAAAAGAAGGATACATATATACTGCTTTCATACTGAAGACAACAGGCAGTTGTTCATAGAAACATAGTTTACAGTACAACCAACCTTTCTTCAGTAAAATCATGCACTGACAGTCTATCTGGAAACAATCAACTATGTGAATAAACTCACTATGACTTGAGATATCATCCCAGCGTGCAATGGACGTACAGTGTAACGCAGTCGGACGTGGCGAATAAAAATTAAAAACAGAGCAAAATTAACTACATAATCTAGTTATTTAATTAAAAATACATTATGAAATGACAAAATCTGTGGTTACTTGAACGCACAAACGATAGTGTGCGATACATTAAGTTTACATGGTTGCGTTGCGGATAAGATCACCCACAATATATTACTATGATTTAACAACTTTTTTCATTCTCCTCGTTTATCGATAATATACCTAGGTTCCTGCCCGAAGGGTATTGGTGATCCACTGCTACTAGATATGAAAGCCCGTTAAGCGAAAGTATTTTATATTCCATCCAGAACGTTTGAACCACTTGAACCATTTGAGTAACGCGCTACCCGATCTACGAAAGCGTGACTGCGGTGACATAAGGCGATTCGTTTGTAAGTTTAGCTTTCTTCCTGAAAGCTTATCTCAGGCTTTATATCAGATGGACAAATTATTTAATCCGATTCAAATTTATTTGACCTGTTGCCTCCTTTACTTACATCTTCAAAAAGAGCTATGGTTTCAAATTTCTCAATCAACCAATGATTATTGGTTAATTTATTCTTCCTTTAAAGAGAAAACAAAGGAGAAATTGCGTCAGAAAACAACAGAGAAATCATAGGGAAACGCGCAGAAATGTCTCCCCTTTATGTCGGTCTGTTTTAAACGTTGCTGAATTGTTTACTTGTCGAAAAAATGTACTCCGACTCGTCTGCTTGTAGCCAAAACACACGCTGAATTGTCTACTTGTCGCCTTAATACTAGCCGATTTATCTGATTTTGCTTCAATTTTTGACACATTTTTGACTTAATCCCAAACATTTTCGGTGTTCGCTTTTGTCCCCATAACACGCAACACCTCACTGTTGACGTTAAAAATAGTACATGTTTAGACAAATTTTTTAAAAAGAAAACGTCATATTGTACAACGTTATGGGTAGTTGATAGATGCTGGGGCATCGATTGTTATGTATTTTAATCGTAATTGCCAAGTTTTATTGAAATTTGAAAAATCTGCGGAAGAAAGAACAGCTGACGTTGATTAGGCACGTGTTATTAATTGCAAGTGCATTCAAAATCAAACAGGTTTTCTCAACACTTAGTCAAAACGTTTCCCATGCAAGTAAGAAAGTAAGCTCATATTTAAAAAATGTTTATTGTAAACCAAGTTTAACATAAAAAATATTCCACTGGTTATTTCTTTTAGTAACTCCTGTTCGGCTATTGAGGATCAAAATAATCTTGTGAATTCCGAAACGGAAAGAACAAAATAGTTTACAACGATATTTAAATAACTTTTTTATATTAGCTACGTGGTGTTACTTACAGTTATGTTTGTTAACACTGAAGACTGTACCTATAAAACAGTAGGGAATAGTTACCACTTTAACTTAGTACATCCATGTTCTTGTTTTCTTCGATGACGCTTTTGTAATTTGTCTCGTGAAAATAACCTTGCGCAGCGATGTTATGCAGTTTCGCAAAATGTTTTTCGTTGACAGGTGATGACAGGAATAGACTAGTTAATGCACCTGAAGTTTAAAGAGCATATACTACTTCGTATGCAGCCGTAAAACCTGCACATCTGAAGATCTTTTTTCGATAAAGTGCCAAGTAGCGTGAAATGACTGGCGACTTCAGGTGTCATGACGTATGACAAAATATATCGCATTGACATTTTAGGATTACCATAAATTAACTGCGTCTACATGCCCATCTGTAATAGAAACAAATTAATTTTATTGACTTACAAATGTCTCCCTTATGTCTTCCTCCTGAAGACAAGCGTCCAACGTTCCCAGTTTCTCTTCAGATTATAACGGGAACTGCCGACTTGACAGTCCGCAATCGAGTTTTCGCGGATGTTCACGCCCACCAGACTTCGGCAGTAGCTTCTTCATATTGGGACTCGAGTTAAAAATACAGGAATATATGTTCTGTAATAAAGTATACAATCTATCAAATCTCAAAAACTTAACTCAATCGGACACGTGACCTATTCGGCCGCTAACGCACTGCCTACACGCCTGAACTCGGACGTTGATGGCGACGTGTCCAACTGTGTCGATCTAGTTAATTAACATATTAAAAGTAAACAAGCCTACTTGGCGATCAGCGAGATAATACTGTCGAACAACCGACGTTTGTGATATTCGACATGGCTATTTCCAGCCTGCGTTTCCGCCACATCCATCTAAACGGAATTGTAAAGAAACCCTTCTTTACGTATCAATGCATCTCTACAAAATATTAGTAAGATTATTGTACTGTCCTCTTCGGCTTCTCATTATTTACTGGCAGGCATACCGATTGCACGTCGTGGTAATCGGTATGCCTGAACACCGATTACCACGACGTGCAATGCTAACCGGTGTAGGGGATGGTTGGAAGAAAGTTAGGGGCGGCCAAACCAAAACGTGGCATCAGTGCCTGAAGTCACTAACTTCTAGTCTGAGCCATGTTGGTAGATGCAGACTACTTGGTTGGGGTCCGCGTGAATTTCGTAACCGATTGTTGGAGACTCTTGGTGACATGGCTCAGATCGATCTCAATGGCGTCGGTGTATACACTCCCTGTCTTCCCTTAAACTAAGAGATTAAAATCACTTCATATCTTTCTTTCTACTAACTAATTCTTTCTTCCTATACTATATCCTTATTGCAACCTTTGACCTAACCACTCCTATGAATCCGGTGTTCATCTTGCTGTGCTAATGAGGTATGGCAACCTGGACCGATGCACATATGTGCCTGGTCCTACGTTGTAGCTGACTGACTGACTGAGGGTGTTTTCGTCCTTAGAACTGTTGATGCAGCAAACATCTAATTTTTTGAAGGGAACCAACAACTCCTTTGTAGCCTGAAGGCTATCTGTAGGAAATGCTTGTTTCTATGTTTGTAACTCACGCATTCGTGAATGACCTTACACCTCAGGACTGACCAATTTTCATCTGGTTGTCACTGTTTTGCAGGTGCATATCAACAAGCTCCGATGGATAGCGACAAATCCCTTTTCCCACAATCCACTGTTTAGCTGCAGTCATAAGCTGCCTCTTGCTTGGTGCGTCTACAATTACGTATTGTTTGTAAGCCGGCTAAATAGGACATAAGAGGTAAGGAAATGGTTTATGGTAATACCATCAGCAAAAATGAAACACAATACATTCCAATAAACGTATGTAGCAATGGAACAACCACTAAATAATTGACACAATCAAGGGCAATACATTTACAGTCAATATCCTTGACGTGAACCCATGTGTGCTCATGACTAACTACCGAGCACATAAATGTTCCCATGTCACTAAAATGAAAAGGATCTTCGAAGTAGTTGCGTTCGTCTGTGGGTGACCTAAGTTTCATTAATCCATGGTCTTCTACATCGGTTGATCAGACCAGGCTTTCCGTGTACTAGTACCATATTATCTTGCTAAAATGAAGTTATTTTAATTTTCTTAAGCATAATTACTTGTTTGTGTGAGTCTACCTTACTGGTTATTTGTGTACGATCAGTCGAAATGCTAGCTTGAAGCCTAGCACGGAAAGACATCTCAACATAACGCTGAACTGCTTGCCTGGCTACGGCATACCCGCTATGCATTGATTTCCTAATTTCTCGAATGGAAATGCTGAGAAACAATCTCTAGGTCTATGTGCACGAATAAATAATAAATTCTAGTTTAGGTGTATAGTGTTAATGCCGTATAGAGCATATCAAACCAATGGAATAATCGCTGTCGTACTGCCTCAGGGACTCCATGATTTAGCATGCGTACCCTCAAGTATATCAATAGACCAGTTATACAATTTAGTACTAATAATTTCCAAGCAATGCTCTCGAAAAATATTTGTTTTTATTGGATAGGTTCAGCGTAAGTGATCACTTACCTATCAGCTAATTTTCGATATACTGGGAGTATTATATTTTTGCAGTTGATGTCAGCACTTGACAGGTACATTTTACCGTTGCTCTTTCAGGTACCGATACTTGCAAATAAAATTTGATTCAATGAATCCTTATCCCCAAAACATCTGGTGAATTTTGAATTTCTGGACAGCACTATTCCTTTTATCAAAATGGATCTTGTTTACAAGCTTTACAAAAATCAAGAATCCTCATATCTTCCACGTAAAATTCTCCAATCCCTAACATACTCTTTCATGGGATTAACTTCAAAGATAGCCTTGTCACGTCATCAGCTAAACGTTGTCGGTTCGGAACGCCTTTTATTGGCCATTGACAAAAGACCTAGTAATCAGCCTTTGATTACAGTCAGCAATCACCATTCGTGTCTTGACGATTTTTTCTTGTGTGGTTCGTTGCTTAAACTTAGGCATTTTGCTAATGGTATGTAGTATCACGACATTCGAGCATTATGAAAATATTTAGTAACCGTATGTCGTTGGTGCTTGACAGCTGTAGATATATGTTATACAACTTCGCTTCATACCAACTTCTTCTTCTGGTTCAGAGGAGTTCCTATATGGCGAAGGGTTCGTGATCCGCTATCTGGTAAAATAACTCACTTTGGTGGGGGGGTTTATCAACCTAGTATGGATTTTTGCATCAATTTACTAAATTCTGGCCAATGGGTACATGTATTTTCCCAGGTTTGTAGACATGATTAAGTTTAAAATATCTGGTAATTAATATTTACGATACCACAGCTGTGAGTTTAGTCGTTTTTAAAGTAGTTGCCTTTTTTAGTATGCTAATTTTTTAGTTCATGTTGTACTTATTATATTCTTGCCAAAATTAATGATTTCACTTTATTTCTAGCATAATTCCATACTAATCTTTGCTTGATTTCATTTTCCAACTATTTTACATCATTTTTATTTCCTTTCTCTCTTTCCAACTTTAGTAGTGTAGATTGTGATATTGTTCAGAATAGTTCCTAGTTGTCAAGGTTCATTCACTCTTTATCTTCCTCTCGATCTTGAATCCAATTACTCCTTCATACTTACCCTTCCACTGTTTTTACGAGCTATATTTCAAATGTTCATTTGTCTTCATTATAACTGTTACTACATTTTTTTCGGCCTCTTGTGTAGTTTATCATATAGATTTCATCTTTTATGGTATGTCAACTGAAGCCAACACAGCCCTTTATCCGGCTCTATGTTGATAATGATTTGGTAATTTAACAATCTTCATGTGTTAATCAATCAATTCTTAGGGAAAATATCACTTTACGTACATTTTTAAGCATGGTAAAAGTATAATGAAAACGTAACTCGATAGTTCGTTATGATAAGTTTAGCAAAAGGTATTGTCCTTCAAGTTACCACCATATAACAGCACATTTTAAAACATTGAGTAAAAGATTTTCTACCTCACTGACCAGTGACCTGAAGTATTTATTATTGCTTGACGGCCTTCCTGTCACTCACTCCACTTTAAAACATAGCAATCTCACTACGTTCAGATATTTGAAAATGTTTTACAGCACTGATTCCGTTGGATGCTTCTACTAAGCCGTAGTACTCAAAATTGTCTAAACCCACTAAGTCAGAGTGTTTATGACTTCCACCGTTTGAACCTAAGGAAGAATTTCCACAAAAATTCACTAGTTAGTCTATATTCAATTTTTTATGGGATCATCTAGAATAAGTGCCATTTACCTTTTGTTGTTGCGAATAAAACATTTGCTAGGAAATTACCAGTTTGTTAAGGCCCTTTTAAAATAAATCTTTGCTTTATAAGGTCGGCAAATGTAGATATATTATGAGTAAAGCCCTAATCATCATTATAATTGTTATACTTTAGGGGAGAATTATTCAACCTCATGAACGTGGTTCTGAAAAAAATATTCGCCTGCGTTGGGGAATCGGACGATTGATAGCCGAATCAAAAGAAGTAAGCTTTCGTAAGTCCTAGGTTTATAGTCTCACCTCACATACATTTTTCTCGTTCGTAAGCAATTTCTATAAAGTTTTGATAGCAGTATAGATTGTCAAAATATTTCATAAATATTGATAGTTAGAAAAATAACAGACGTTTGATATCTATCATATCTTCAGATATCAGCGCATTTAAAACGAATTTTATGTAGTCCCAACACGTATCGCACTATTCTAGTTCTGGCTTTGGGGGAAATAATCAAAGTAGCTATAAAAATATGTGAGGTTGGGAATTTTAGTAACATAATACTTATGATTGTGTTATTTGCTATGAAATAGATTCGGATTGGAGTATGAAATAAGATGCGATATGTGTACGTTCTAATAAAGATGGACAACTCATTGGTGTGATAATGTGTTAGTATTTCTGTTAATTATTTGCAATCGCGAAATGAGACTTAGATCAGAATGAAAAGGAAGGAACTGAATTGATGTGGAAGTCATCAGGAACATAGTTGTTCTAATTCATCTACAAAATACTTCTCAGAAATGTTAGAAGGAAATATCAATTCGAAGTAGTCAAATAAATGTTTATTGCTTCAGATAACATCAAGTTTTAGACAAAAATGAGAATAGAAGTTTCCAATAATGTTTAACTTTTATCTATCAGTTTTTTAGTAGTGTCTAATTAGGTTTCTACAGAATCTTGTTTCGTTTTCACACCTCATTTCTTGTAAATGGAATATTATTGTAGATCTTTTTAGGGAACACTGAAGAATCCTGACATTTGTTTCATACTCCACTTTTTCGATTGAGCCTTAAGTTCAAGGTGGTTTCACAATTCCTCTCAGTTTTATGTTTTCAGCTACCATTGCTTATATGTGCAAAGATCAACTTACATTTTAAATTCTGATTTATCTATAGCACAATATAACCATGGTACTTGTCGTTTGTATCATTTTTACTACTGACAAATCGTTTTGGGTAATTAGTTGCTTCAAACGCGAACAACTTGTTCTGCCTCTGTTACGAGAAAAAAAGCTTTTTTAATAAATTCTAAGCAGCTATTAATCTACCAGTTAATACGTATACTGCATTGATATATAAATATATCCCCATATCAGTCAGCCACAAACAATGTAGGACTTCAAATGTCTCTGCACTGTCTTTCAGAAAATATTACTCTTCATCGTTCTGTTTCTCATTGAACCAACTGTCAAACAAATTTCATTTTGTAACTATCGAATTCAACTTTCCTAGATAAATGTAATTCTATCTTGTTTAAATATCTAAAAAACCTCTTATCAAAATAACGATGTGATATCTACGCACCCCAACCATATTCTTAATAAACTGGTGCATTCTAGCATTTACCCGTATGTATCCGTTTTTGATCTAATAGACTTTTTATCGATGTGTTGACTAAAGTTAATCTGACGCACATAAACTCATACCACTTAAAAACTTGATTACAGACTATCTAATCAACCTTATGAAATGAAAGTGCGTCTGTCATAAGTTGATTGAATAAACAAACTTCTTAAACGTCAAAATATTCGTTCTTCTTCCCTCAGGATCCACTTGTAATTCCTGTTTGGCATTGCGGTCTAGATCAACTAAATCCTTCTGAGGTTCCGAATACGTCTACTACGCTGTCATGTATATTTGGAAAACCGCGTCAGCTGACTGTTGTAGTAGGTAAACCAATCGATACCCATGGTTTACGTGAAGAATTAAAGAATAATTCATCAGAATATTTGGCCTCATCAGAATTTCGTTCACATATACACTCTATGTATACTCAGGTTGTCCAAGAACAGCTATATAAACTCAAAGAAGAAGCCGAATGTGAGCATCAAAGACTAAATCTGATCTAAAAACTGTGAATAGCTTTATTAGACGTCTACTTTTTTACCTTATATTTTTAGAATTGTCATAATGAATAAAAAGTTTTTCCTACGTGTTTTCGCGTCCTGATTGGCACATGTTCACTGAAACCTACCGATCTTTGCGGACTAGACAACTGGTTTTTCGTCCGATTATATCGTTTTTCATTTAAAATCTAGTAATCGGTAAACCAATTTCGCCACACCCTATCTATTTAGATAGATAGTTTTTTCAGTTGTCTTTTTTATCACCAGAAGATTTAGGAATAAGAATTGTGATAACAATCTTTTTGCCACAGGCTGAAGTACTTGTTTGTTCATTGAACTCGTTTATAACTTCTATCAAATTATACACTTATAAATACAATGAAAACTGGCCAGGATGTCTCCATACTGTTGACGTAAATCTCTGGTTTTTTAGTTAAGTAGACTATCTTATCAACGTCTTTGGAACTTATTTGCGAAAAAGCCGTTTTCCTTGCGATATACTTGGCTTTTTTGGATCTTGATTCAATTACACGTCCTTGCGCTTTGATGGATTCCAACTTGAAACGTTTACTTCAGTCAAAAAGTTGTAGATGCGTATTATGATGAGTTCCGTAAAGATTTCCTACTTTTTGAAGAGAGGAGTGTGCTTTTCGTATGATTTGTATTAGGTGCGTTGTGTATATTTTTATATTTTATGCTTACAATCTGCTAAGGATATTATTAGTCACCAATTGGCCTCTTCAGATTTACCAACGTCGTAGAGTATCACTGTTATTCTAGACATGCCTTGCCGACTAGTCCAGGGTGTATTCTCTTCCATCACTCACTACTGTTTATCAGTACTTCAACTTGTCCACCTTGTTTTAACGACTATCTTTTTTTTCTGTGTAGCTTACTCGTAAATTAGATATCAGTATAATCTCGTTAACTTTCTTACCTATCTATCTCTTGGTGAAGCAGTGCCAATTAGTTTTCATTAGATACAATTATATCTCAGAATTTAGTTTTAGAAAACCTCATTTGATCTAACATCCACAGTAGCATAAGTCTTTCACTTTAACCAATCTATTCTGTAGTGATTTTAACAGATAAGATTAGCTCTGTTGTATTACACTAATTTGTCTTGAGTGTGAATATTAAAATGTTGTGAACTGTTGTGATCATGGATTTTGATACATCTCTTAAAATTAGTAGGAACTGAAGTAGAACAGTTGTTTAAAAATCGGTCTTGACAAGTAGTTTTAGGTGTTTCTGGGTGAGCTTCTCGTCATTTTACTATCTCAAGTAAACTTGACCATTTGAAACAACATGGAAGAGCCGATATGACGGGATTTAAAAGCAAGTTATATTCCGTTACCCATTGTTATTTTTGTCCAACATTACTTCAATTTTAATTCAGTGTGATGGTTACCCAGGGTAGTATTTGTTTCGTTTTCCAATATATTATATTCAGCATAACATCAAGTTATTTGAGTGTGGCGTTTGTTCAAGATGCGGTATTCTTGTATTAAATTAACGTGAACTATACTCAGCATGACATGCAGCATGTAATTTGTTACAACTCTAGGTATTTTTCATATATGTGATTTCCTTCTAATTAATAATCAACATCTGTACAATTAATATGTGAGTGCATTTTCGACTAGGGTCGTCGTCGTGTTTTAGAGTTAATAAATCCTCATTTGTACCAGTCTTGATGTTCTTACTTCGCGTCGATGGAATTGCAGTGGTTCCTCGTTGTTTCGAGTATAAAAACAAGAGATTCAGACATAGCATTCAACTATGGCCAGTCATAACATAAGCGTTTTGAAAATTAACATACAACAAGGTTTATCACTATTTTCAGTTTAAATCATCATCTTGTGTAAGTTCTCGTGAATATCTCTTGCGTCAGTCAGTTACAACGTAGGGCCAGGCACATATGTGCATCGGTCCAAGTTGCCAAACCTCATTAGCACATCAAGATGAACACTGGATTCATAGAAGTAGTAAATTCAATGATGGTAATATATAAAAGAAAGATTGCATATAAGGATATAGTACAGGAAGAAAGAGTTAGTTGGTATGAAGAAAGATACAAAGCAATTTTAATCTCACAGTTTGAGAGGACAAAGAGTGTATACACTTACACTATTGTGATCCATTCTCAGCCATGTCACCAAGAGTCTCCAACCATTGGTGACGATAGTCACATGGACCCCAACCAAGTGGTCTGCATCTACAGACATGACTAAGACTAGAAGTTAGTGACTTCAAGCACTGGTGCCATGCTTTGGTTTGGCCGCCCCTACACTAGTCAGCATGCGCGTCGTGGTAATCAGTGTTCATGCATACATAACCCAACCATCTCAGTCGATGAAGATTCACAACCTCGTCAACTGATTTACCATCACTCCCTAATACCCTGCGTCTAGCTTCACTATTACTTACCCGGTGATCCCCGCAGATGCGAGCAATATTTCTAAGGCATCTGTGGTTAAATACTAGTAGCTTACGAGTATCTTCAACTCTTAATGGTCACTTTTCGCAGCCGTAAAGCAGAATAGAACGAACTGTCGCGCAGTATACTTGTCCCTTGGTTGATAGACGGATATCTCGCATTCGCCGTAGGTGACGTATGTTGGCAAAAAGGCCGAGGGAGCTTTTCAAATCCGTGCTGAGATTTCGTCGGACACGAACCCATTATGGCTGATCAAACTTCCAAGGTAAGTGAGGTTGTCAACGCGTTCGACTACTTCACTCCCTATCTTTAGTTTAGGTGTTGATGCAGGCCAGTCCTGGAGCAACAATTTGCATTTAGAAGGAGAGAAGCGCATCCCAAACATTCTAGTATTGTTGCTCAGAGCCACTAGAAGACTGCATTTTATCAGCATCTTCACGAAACATGACTATATCATCTGCGTATGTATCTTGCATGTAAAGCAAAATTAAGCTTTCGGTATTTCCATATTCTCAAATTGTCATCAAAATGCGATTATTGTGTTATGCATTACTAGAATAATTCCAATTTTAAATGTATCATTATCAAAAGAACTAGAGAAGTATAAGCTAAAAGGGATGAGGGTCTTTCGACAAAAAAGCAATTGGCAAAATATACTCTGTTTCATTGTCTTTAGCAGTTTTAGTTTTTCGTTTGGTACACTTCTAATGGTTATTTTAGAAACTGACGATGTGGAGAGATCCCCCCGTTCAATGTTTGTTCTGACCAGGACGTCTGATCAGTGCGGCAGTCTGTTTGTCCGCCTGCGAGATTCCAGTAAAATCAAGAGTTACTAGGTTTGGTAATATTGAGAGAACCGTGTGAAAGTAACCCTGCAGAAAGAAAAAAACATTGAACTGAATGAAATTTACCATGTAAGATGTTGACAATCCTAAGGTTTATCGGATTCCAATAAAGGTTTCTTCACCACTGCAAACATGATGCTCTGATCATGAAAAATGCTGCCATTTTATTAATAGTAATTTCCAAGTCGTATATCACATCACAAACATGCGAAGGAAATTTAGTTTGTTCTTCCTCTTATACTTTTAGGAAGTCTATGTCCATATCTACTATCATGTAATCCTCAAACTGCAATGTCAATTTTTAGTGTTTGTATCGTGCGTGTGTTTTAGTGAACGATTCTTTTGACCATGGTCGTCGTCACAGTATATATGATGCCAAAAGGAGTTATCTCCACATTGTAACAAGTTTGTTGTGATTTTCCTCAAGATAAACCTGCCTACTCTATTTCTCAAGAGTAGGGAAAGCACAGCTCCTCTCAAATTACTGTATTTTTTAGTTCCCTCATTTCACACTTATGTAAACCACTCACAACAAGAATTTGTACTACGAAACTCAAGGGCTTGTTTCGAGCCCTTAGGTGTTTATAAGAGGCTATTTTTAGCATAGAAAATGTATCATGATACTTGGCCAAAAGCCACATAATTGGCTTGATGATGTCGCAATGAGAGTTGGGACGTATGTTCTTCTAAAAAAACGGAACAGCATGGTCAACAGTAGCTGTTTCAGTGAACTGATATAATGCATTACCTTCTCCTTCTCAATGGGGTTCCCATGTAACGTAAGTTTCGTGAGCTTCGGTAACTGTCTGAGTTTTATCACTTCCTGGAGTGTTTCTATTTTATTTCCATGCATATAGATGATTTTCAGGTGTTTAAGACTACTGAAAGACTGAGCTAAAATTGAAAGTGAAAACAAACTACAATTTACATTTGGAATACTGGGTATGTTGTTACAAGATATATCTAACCACGTTAAGCTGGACGTATCTCCGAAAAGCTCATGAACCACAACAGGTAGTGTAGAAATGTCCTCTATTTGGTTGTTATTTATTTTCAGGGTCCGAGTAACCCATTTTTCATTCATATCCTTTTTAATGATCGAATTGCTACTAGGTATTATTCTCGGACAACACACAGTTAAATCTGTTGAAACGTGTAAGTGTTGCTGACAACTGTAATACCTGATACGTTTTTTATATTCAGAAATGAATAATCCAAAGGCTGAAAAATACCTGATCTCTCGCTTAATTGTGTTTCATCACATTTTTTGTCAGCCCTAAACTGAATTTACATGACGAAACTTTTCTTACAATTCAGTCATATCACCTCTAGTATGTTTTTCTCTAGCTTTAACGTAATTTTTGTGGTGGTGAAATGTTAGGTGCAGTGATCCCTAGAGAACCTGGAAGAGAAAATGTGAGCAATTCGCCCAGTAAGTACGTAGAATGCACTTACTTTTAATGAGATAATTAATTCAAATCGGTCTGTAACAACACAAGTGTAAGATTATTACAATTTATTAATCGAGACTATGAGTTGGTAGTGTAGTTTGGAATGGGCTGCAACAAAGGTACTCAAAGTGCGCTGGTGACGTTTCCTTGACAGAAATGAGTAAAACGTCTAATTTCCAATAATGTAATGGGTAGCTTGTATAAATATCCGGAGTATCTTATACAAGTTTTGAAGTTGATATTGACTGGTTTTAGGATGTTATGGGTCGCCGAGCCTCCACCTTTGAGCACCATATATTCTAGTAAAAATCGATCTACTGTTCTCAGATTTTTGTAATATCCATGAAAAGTCTACGAACTGATTCCAAGGTACACCTTTGGGAACACTACAAGTTATAATCAACCTTCGTAAATGAGGACGAGAGTCCGTTTCGTTCCAAATTAATTAAGATTAACTTTTAAACCAATTGACGGTCAACGTCTGACTTTCCTTCATGAGAAGTTATATAATGTGTTATCAGTAAGCTTTTAGTAAACGACCTCAACCTGATGCCTTGTTATGCAAAGATGTTATGGATACGCACTGCTTTACGGCAGTGGTCGTAAGTGCTCACTTTATTAGTGAATTCGAAAACCTGTAATGACCTACTTTTATCAAGAGAATGCGGTTGGTATAATGGAAACAATTATTATAACCGATTGTACCAGGGCTTGTTTTACCGTACTTGTTTGTTTAACTGCAACAAATACATACATTCTTCCGTTGATCTGGCGCGTGTTTCAAAAAGGCAGTGGCAAAGTATTCTTGTGATTATCCTTGCCTTCGTGTAATTGTTGCATCGGAAGTATTCTTGGTCTATATCAAAGTACTTTAGTTAAGGATTGAAATCTTGCTAAAGTTTGTCTTATGGTTCCTTTTTACTCATTGACTGACACTTGTTTTCATACTGTGATCATATTGTGTTTTGCACCTCACTCTGACTAAAATGGTTGGTATTACTCACAAATGTGGACAACCAAACTGTTTGTACTCTGTGGAGAAAGGAATACAATGAGATGAATGTAAAAAGTGGTTCTATAAGATGTGCATTCGTTTAACTGCCACTGCGTACAAAGGATGTTTGAATCCTAACTCATATTGGCCTTGCATGTTTTCCTGTGCAAATAAGACGTTACTAATACAGGAGGCCATGAGCCTATTGGGTTTGGCCTCCTAGGATCGGAGAAGCAACGGGATATCGTGTTAATTAGCGCTCGTTGTCACAACAATTACGACATTCGGGTTAGACCTGATTCAAACGGTTCAAATGGTTGTGGACGGAATAGAAGAAGCTTTCGCTTAACAGGCTTCTGTGTCTAGTAGCAGGGGATCACCAAATCCTCCAGGCAGGAACCTAGGTATGTCTATCGAAGATAGAATAAAAAGGAAGAAAGCACCAGCTGAACTAGAAACCCGTCGGCAAAAAGGTGAGGAAAATGTCAGGTTGGTGGAATTTCGGATAGTCAGGTCTTGGAGGCCAGCGTTACCAAGGTCTGTGTGGATAGACCGCTATGCCTAGGAGTTTTACATGCCAACTCGCGTGGTCTAAGAAGTAAGTTCTATGAACTAGAAGCATTAGTGGACAGATTGAAACCACTCATTGTAGCAGTGACAGAATCATGATTAGTCCATGACTTAGACATTACTCCAGAATTATCCGGATGCCATTACCCAAGGAGTGAGAGACATAGATGTAGAAAGGAGGGTGGCGTCCTGTTTTATATAGTCAACATTATAAATATCCGCTCCTCTGCTAGCGAATCTCGTGATAGCGGTACAATACAGATCCAAATATTGTGAGATTAGGAGTGCCTGTAAAGCGTTAATAAGTAAGACTAGACGATATATAGAAAACAATTGGTTAGGGATTATTGATATAGTCCGAAACGGTAGTTCTCGTATGTAAAAAGGCGAACTCAAAGAGGCGATGGAATTCCATCACTTTTGATGCAAGAAAATCCGTTAATCTTGGTCAAAAATGATGCCAAAATGACAAGCTTTATCGGAATATTTTAGTAAAGTATTTTCTATCGGTAATGAGGAACGACCAACGAGTCATCGTGACCGTGACGGCTCGCTGATGGATCCTGTAGTCATTGAGAAAGATACTGTTTTAAGGCTACGTCAGCATTTCAAACCTGATAAGTCCAGTGGTCCTGATGATATTCATGCTAGGATTATGAAAGCTATATCTGATGAAATTGCTGAACCATTAACGGTATTATTTAACATGTCTCTGAGACAGTCCAGACTGCCTAGAGACTGGAAAGACACTATCATAAGTCCGGTGTATAGGGCTGGGAGTAGGGATTTAGTTAGCAACTATAGACCCGTTAGCTTAACTTGTGCAGTTGTAAAACTGATGGAAAAAATCATTCGGATATCTGTTATAAACTATGTTGAAGAGAATAATCTTTTCTCTAGGGAACAACATGGTTTTCGGAGAGGCCTATCATGCTTGACAAATTTTATTGCAGGAGAAGATTGGGCTGCTGCAGAAGATCGGAATATTCCTGTGGATGTGATCTTCATAGATCTAGGTAAGGCCTTCGAAAAAATCTCCCGACTTGGTCTTAAATTCAAACTGCAACGTTTTGGAATCCATTACACAATTGTAGATTGGATAAGTAACTTTCTTTATGACAGGAGACAAATGGTAAGGGTAAATAGGGTTCTCTCCTCATGGGTACCTGCAAAAAGTGGAGTTCCACAACGTACAATCTTCGGTCCCGTTCTCTTTTTACTTTATGTAAGTGAATAACCAACTGTAGCAAAATCATATGTTCTACTCTTCGCTGATGACATAAAAATTTGGAGATCCATGCACTGTATGTCGGATAGAATATTATTACAGAATGATCGTAGCTCATTGATGGCATGGTTGGACAGGTGGTCACTAGAAGTAAATCCTATTAAGAGTGTAGTGGTGCAAATAAATAACTATGATGAGACGTATCACTACAAATAGGTGGATGATGAAATGTTTAGATCATTATGCCCGATTTATGTGTGACCACATTTAGAATATAGGATCAAGGCAGCGAGTCCTTGTTTCAGATGGAGACACCTTAACTCATTTCCGTTATCTTACCGTAGAATACGGGGTGATCTAATATTGGCTTATCGTATACTGAACGATGACCTTGGTCTTATCTTTTACTTCCGTCTAGGACTGACCATTTGAGAGGACACCCGAAGAAAGTTCAAAAACTGAGATCAAATCGTTTACGTCTGGAGTTTCGTTTTCCGCACCTAGCAGTGAATTACTGGAATTCTCTACCGTAACACGTGATATCAGCACCTTATGTTGATATATTCAAAACGAGATTGGACCTCCACAGTATTACAAACTGCAAGGATTTATATAGGTCGATAGACCTCCTATCCTTATTACTGAAGACTGAGGACTGATTGTGACTCTGCACGAATTCGGTTACTCCCAGTAACCACACTTGTAACCTGGCACGATCCCGGTATTCTTTCGATACCATGAGATCGCTAACAAATACATCTCGACTACAGCCATCAACTGCCTTCTGATATTTGGTCCACGGGGGATCTTATCAGTTAACTGGCACGTAGTCTCCCTGTAGTGTTGACCATAGTCAACCGCTACGCGGCGCAACACTACAAACTAATCAAACCAAAAATCGAGAATGAAAGATTTCAAACCATTATGGACGGAAAAGAAGAAGCCTAACGGGCTTCTGTGTCTAGTGGAAGTGGATCACCAATACGTTCATCCAGGAACCTAGGTATATTATTTATAATAAAGGAAAACGAAATTAGTGTATCATAGTAACATACTATCCTTAGTCCTTACGAATAGGTCAAGTTTCCTCTTAAGTAACTTCTGGGAAGTCGCTTGGACTAGCTCAGCCGGTAGCGAATTCCAGCATTTGACAACTCTCAAAGGGTAAAGGTTGTGTCTACAGTCCGTTCTTCTATGCTGTATCTCCAGTTTCTGGGTGTTACGCCTTAAGTTTGTGTTGGCGCTAAACTTAATTAGGTGTTTAAGGGGATGTACAGACGTGTTAAAGATACTGTAAGCCATAGGAAGGTCACCTCCATGACTCCTACACTCTAATGGGTAAACGTTCAGTGACTGTTGGCGCTCTTCATAAGGTTTGAATGTGAGTCTCCTAACTGATTTCGTGGCTTGCCGTCGTATACGCTCCAGAGTGTTCTTATCCCTGAGGAGTGAGGGAGGAAATACTCTAAATGAGAACGAATGAAACTGTTAAAGATCATGTGAAAAGTTCCTCCGCCAAACTGACCAAAAATGTAATTCAATGTTAACAGTGCAAGGTTTGTTCGAAAGGCATTTTTCCGCAGCGTAAGGCTTCAAGTCGTAGGGTAACTGCACACGTAAAACTTCTTCAACTCGGGATACTTCTAGAGGAGGGTTTCTCAAGTTGTATGCGTAATCTGCAACATGCCTTATTTGCTCTTTGAAGTGTTGGAAGTTCGTTGTCATCTGCCCTACTTTGAAGTTGAGTCAGATCCTCCTGAAGTGCCAGCATGTCCGGTGGCTGCATATCTATCTCCAAAGTTTCACATTATCAGCAAAACATAATACGTTAGACGATACCTGTTGTGGAAGATTGTTCGTGTATATCACGAGAAGAGGAGGTCCTCGCACTGAATCCTAAGGAACCCAACTAGAACATTCCGTAGCTTGAAAGAAAGTGAAGTTAACCCTGACCTCAAAATGTCGACTTTTTAGATATGAAGTGAGCCAGTGATGTGATACCCAATTGTTCGAGCTTATTGATACGACATATTTGGTTGATCCTATCAAAATCTTTTGAGAAGTCAAGGTAAATGACATCAACCACTATGTTGTGGGAAGATATATTAGGAGAATGATCGGTGTGTCGAGATCCAACTGATTTAAGCTGACTAGATGCAAGAAGTGCGCAGCATGACGTATCGATACGCGAGTTGGTTCGTATACCTGACCGAGCTCATTAACTTCATGGTGTTTCTAATAAAACCAATGAGACTAGTTTGATAGTCGATATGAAAAAAGCTTTTCTAACAACGAAAAAAGTTATTAAGATCACCTAAAATGTTTTGGC